AAAAAATCAAAGGAAAAGAACTTACATTCTCAATTTCATAATCTGAAAATGGAAGGAAATCATTTCTATGGAGGAAAATTTTAAGTTTTGAGCAAGCTGTTGTAAGAGGATTTTTTTTTACTACATTGAAAAACTGAAGTATTAACACCACCTTAAGAAATCATCAAAATAAATGAATATTGGTGAAGATTTAGAAAAAGAAGACCTCAATAGTCATAGATACACATATTTGGGTAATGATGGCTCCATTTCTCCTACTGGAGAGGCAAAATCAGAACATGAGACAACACAACTTGAACATGATGCATGTTATATTATATTGGTAGAGGAGAGTTGTTTCATTATATATTCTGAATCACCAAACAAGATGAATGTGTACTATATGTGAAAATATCAGATAAAAACAAACCAAGATATAATACTAAATTTTTAACACAAAAATAAAACTGAAAATATGAGTATTCAAGTCAAATATAATGGGATTATAACATAGCACAGTATCTGGCATTTTAAAAAATATTAAGACTAAATCAATTTATAGCTATATCTTATCAATAATAAAGATATAAAGTATATATCTTACCACACAAGAATAATGAAGAAAGTGCTTTGACTAGAAAGAGAGATTCAAAAATATTAAATAATGAACAGCTACTATATAATGGTTAGGGTAAAAATACAAGAGGAAGAGATAACAGTTATAAAATGTATGCACCAAATATGGGAGCACCCAATTATATAACACAATTTTTAATGCACATGAAAAAAAATCTACTATCCAAAACCACAATCTTCATAGGAGACCTTGACACCCCTTATCATGAAAAGACAGGTAAAGCAGACAAATAATTAGCAAAGAGGTACCAGAACTGAACCAGACCTTTGAACAAATAGACTTAATGGACATATAAGAGTGTTCCACCCAACCACATCTCAATACAGATTCTTATTAGCTGTACAAGGGATGTTTTCTAAAATAGGCCACATACTAGTACATAGGTCATACCTAAGTATATGCAAGAAAACAGAAATTACCCCACGTATATTACAAGACTACACTAAAATGAAACTGAAAATTTTTGACAAAAGCCATAAAAACACATAAATATATGGAAATTAAATAACACTGTCCTCAGCAATCAATGGGTTACAGATGAAATTCAACAAGAAATTAAACAATATCTACAATTTCAATGAAGATTCAAGCACAACTTAGTGGAATTGTGGGAAACAATGAAACATTTCTTAGAGGAAATTTATAGCCGTGAATTCACACATTAGTAAAACAAAACAAGAACAAATAAATATGCTAATGTTGCATAACAAATGTTTAGAAAAAGAAGAGCGAATCAAGCCAAAAACCCAAAGATGGGAAGAAATCATAAAGTTTAGAGCAGAAGTTAATGCAATTGAGATGAAAAAAACAATACAAATAATTAATTAATCCAAAAACTGTTTCTTTTACATGGTAAATCCAAATGATATAACCATAGCTACCCTAATCAAAAACAGGAGAAAAGCTGAAATTCAAGCAATAAGACTGAAAGAGTGAAATTACTACAGACCCTGTTGAAATTCAGAAGATGATTGCTAGATGCTTTGAAAATATTTACTCTTACAGAATCAAAGACAAAGAAGAAATGGACAGATTCTTACAAAGGAACAAAATATCAAAACTGAATCAAAAAGATATGAGAACACTGAATAATTCAACGTCAGCCAATGAAATTGAAAACATTAAAAAAACCCTAAAACGTAATGCCAAACAAATGCCCAGCTGGAGTCACAGCTGAACTCTACAATGAAATTAGAGAAGATTTAATTCTAATACTCCTTAAACTCTTCAATGAAATCTAAAAGGAAGCAATATTCCCAAAATCATTTGTGGAGGCAAGAATTATACTGATATCAAAACCAGACAAAGATTCAACCAAAAAAGAAAATAAAGCTACAGGCCAATCTCTTTCATGAACATAGATGTAAATATCTTTAACAAAATCCTGGCAAATAGGATACAGTAAATCATCAAGGAGATTATACAACATGACTAGGTAAGATTTATCCCAGGGATGTAAGGATGATTCAACATACACAAATCTATAAATATAATACATTATATCAATAGAGCAAAACAAAATCTGCAAGATCATCTCTATTGATGCAGAAAAGGCTTTTGAAAAAGTCCAACATTCATTCATAATCAAAACCCTAAAGAAAATTGGGATAGATGGTCTCTACCTCAATCTGATAAAAAGTATCTATGGCAATCGAATAGCCAACATGATTCTAAATGGGGAAAAACTGAGACCTTTTGCTCTCAAATTAGGTACAAGACAAGGATGTCCTCTATTGCCACTCTTATTCAATATAATTCAGGAAGCATTAGCATGAGCCATTAGACAAGAGACAGAAATAAAAGGAAAAAGAATAGGTAAAGAAGAAGTTAAACTATCCTGATTTGTAGATGTGATCTTCTACTTGGAAGACTCAAAAACTCCACCAAGAAGCTACTAGAACTAATAAACAAATTCAGTACCATAGCAATTATAAAGGCGATACCCAAAACTCAATAGCTTTCCTCTACACTGATGAAAAGCACACTGAGAGAGAAATTAAACAAAAAATACCCTTCATAATTGCATCAAAAAGTGAAATATCTAGGGATGAATATAACTAAAGAAGGAAAAGACCTATAGGAAGAACAATACAGTACTCTGAAAAAAAGGATTGAAGATGATGTCAGAAAATGTAAAGATAGTCCTTGCTCCAGCATAAGAACAACTAACATTGTGAAAATTGTCATTCTCCCAAAATTATTGTACAAATTTAATGCAATCCTTATCAAAACCCACCAGCATCCCTCACAGATCTAGAGAAATAATTCCTAAAACTTATTTGGAACCAGAAAAACCTAGAACAGCAAAAGCAATCCTGGGCAACAAAGCCAAAGCAGGAGGCATTACTCTCCCTGACTTGAAATTATACTACAAAGCTGCTGTGATAAAGTCAGTGTGGTACTGGCAACAAAATAGACCTGAGGATCAATGGAATAGATTAGAAGAT